TACACACCATACCACACCACACCACACCACACCATACCATACCATACATACCATACCATACCATACCACACCACACCACACCACACCATACCATACCATGCCATGCAATACCATACCATACCATACACACCATACCACACCACACCACACCATACCATACCATACCATGCCATGCCATACCATACCATACCATACCATACTAGAAAATCTATGGAGTTGGTGAGTAATAGAAACCAACCCTTTGTTGCTGTTGCATTAAATTAATTATTGAGCATTTATGTTGCATGTTCTGTTTTTTTTTTTTTTATTATTATTCTTACAAGTTTTAGCCAACTCTGAAAGAAACTGTTTTTATTAAATGAGTGTGAAGCTCAAAACATGTCTGAGTTCTTACATTTAATCCAGAGGGCATGTATATATTTTATTTATATATCTTTTAAATTCCCACAAACTGCTTATTTCCTTTTTGTCCGAACTGAACACACTGTTCCTCTACTCTACTAAAGAAACTACTTGCTGAAACTTTTTCATTTATTTTTAACACATTTCTAGCTATGACCTGACCCAAGATTTTGCCACAAATAAAAGTGATCTTTTGTGCTGGTACATCAGTGGTGTTAGATTTATTCTCCATATTTCAAGATCCATTTGCTGACAGACTTGTCTTCATTAGTTTAGGTCTTTTCATTCTTTATTAAACGTTTCTGGATTATCTATTTTCTGTTGTTTTTCCTAGAATGCAGTTTGAATTATTGCTTCTATAAAGTCACTTTATGATTGATATATCATGTTGTATATCCTTTGACAAAGGAGCTATTTATCACTGTGATTAGATGTGCATGCACTAACTTTTATATGATCTTCTTGATCTCAAAGTGTGCTGGGGAAGCTGTTTACAATCAAAAATACAATCATAAATGGAGATTGTGGCATTATGTAACCATTTTTTCTTGCTGTTAGATTTCAAAGTGACCTTTTTACCTTTTAGCCTTTTAGTTACCTAATTCTTTTATGAGGATTTTTTTTTAATCACAGTTGTTAAACTGAATACAAAAAAATGCAATTAACTTTTGCTTGAAACAGTGTTTATCATTCTAATGTGTCTCATTTGGGGTTTCACAGACAGTTCAGTCTGCATGATGATTAATAAAGTTTGTTAGCTCAAATAATTTGTTTCACTTAATTAAAAATTGGCTTCCTCATAGGCTTGTTTTCATCTTAATTGAGAAGGTTCAAGGAATTAATTTTACTTCAGTTGCTTTATTTGTTTAACCAGTCTATTGTGTTGCAGCTTAGAGGATAAACACATTTTATCAGCTTATGCTTATATTTTTTTATATGTCTCATTACGTATGTACGTTCTTATCATATAATGTTAGGGTACAATAAAGAGTTAACACTCAAGACCCAAGTCACACACATTTTAAAGCATAAATTACCACCCAGCGCTCACAGATTACTGATCTTGACTCTTCTCAAGGCCTGTCAGTCTCACTGCTGGCAGGCTTTCGTCAGAATCTGGAGAGAGATTTCATGTCACGCCAGTTCTCATCTGCCTCAGGTAGCTGTCATTCAAACACAAGGTTAACTTTAAAATGTTTTATGTACAGTCGATCATATGCAGCTCATGCTTTACCTCCCAGTGAGCACGTAGCCCATACTCAGTGCATGCATGGGTATGCATCTTGGCGAGTAAGCTTATTCCATGTTGGACCAGAAAAGCCTAAAGTAGATCAGATTTACATGGAACAGAAAGAAAGAAGTCTGTTCTGTGTTGCCCATTTATTAAATGTCTCTGTTCACTGGTCTCAGTGCCAGCAGCAGCTGAAGAGCCAAGTTCATTGTTGAGCTACCTGTTTTGTTGTAAAGTACCGTGTAGCTCAAGGGTTCGGTGGTGAGGTAGAATATTCACCAATCAACACCTGCTGCTGTGCTGTCTAAACCAGTGGTTCTAAATCTGGAGTCCCTGAACCCCCAGAGGTCTGTGAGCTGGTGCTTGGAGGTCTGCCAACATATATACCTGTATATATACAACCTTTTAAAATACACCAAAATGCAGGAAATCACATCTACAGTACTTTATTCAAAGTTTTCTGGGGGAGGACCCCAGATACCCCCACCCGCTGGCCCACCTGCTCTTTGTGTTCTGGCATTG